GTTTATACATTCATCATTGATGGACACTTAAGTTAGTTTCATCTTTTGGCTACTGTGATAAATGTTGCCTAAGTTTTGATATCAGTATCTGTTTGAGTCTCTGCTGTCAGATCGTCTGGGTGTATACCTAAAGGTGGAATTACTGGACCATATAAAAATACTATGTTTATCTTTTATTAGTAACACAGGTTTGCAGTACATAATGTTTACATTGCTTGTGTCAAGTTGGTACATATGTATAACACATCCTCGTTCCTTTTCTATCTCCTTTTCTTCCCCCATCCATCTCTTGATCCCTTTCCCATTTGAGAAAGATACATCTCTCTATTTGCTATTATCTACTTTTCATTTTACTTTTTATTTATAGTTTAGGTTTCTCATATAAGAGAAATCAAGTGATGTTTAAGCTTATGTATCTGGTTTAACTTAACATTATAGTATCAAGGAGCATCCATTTTCCTATAGGAGATTCAAGTTTATTCTTCTTTATGGTAGACTAGTACTGTATTGCATGTAAAGATCACATTTTCTTTATGTAGTCATTCATTTTTGATCAACTTATAGACTGCATCAAATATTTAGCTATTATAAACTTTGCTGCTACAAGCATTTATCACTCAAATGTGACATCTTTAACTCTTTTGCAAAGATACTAGGAGAACCTAGAGGGGGAACAGCTGGCTCAAATAGAATTTCTAGTTTTAGTGTTTTGAGCAATCTCTGACTGATTTTTATAGTGGTTTTACTAGTTTATATTCTGACCTACAGTGTGGAGGGTTCTGTCTTCCCTGCAGCCTCACAGCATTTGTTATTATTTGATTTCTTGATGATGGCCATTCTATATGGAATAAGATGGAAAGTCATTGTTTTAATTTGCATTTCTCTAATGGGTAGTATGGTAGATTGATAACTGATCTGAATCAGAGTGGTGCTGAGTCTGGATGGCCCATCTGAGGATTGCTGCCAAGATAAAAAAGAAGTGGAGAGGAAGTATTGGTGTTGTTGAATTTCCATAGTGTTGGTTCTTTTGGAGGAGCTTATTATGTTTGTTTTCTGATAGAAACTTGGCTGTTCTCATCATCAAAGGAGCTGAGGACCTTGTTGTCACTGAGCATGGCTTCGGTTCACTTTGGGGGAGCTCTGATCCTTACTTTGAGCATTGCTTCCTGGCTCTGTTGGGAAAGATGTATCCTGTTCAGTCTTGTGGAGAAGTTGTCATGCTGGCTTCCTGATGTGAACTTGGCTGTTCCCATTGTTGGCAGAGCTCAGGACCACATTGTCAATGAGCATGGCTGTGGTTCTTTTCAGGGGGAACCCTGGTCCTTATTTTGAGCATCACTTCTTGGCTCCAGTGTAGAACTCTCAACCTTGGGGCACAGATCCTTCATCCTGCTGGCACAGACTTTCTAGCTTACACCACTGACCTTTGGGACTTCCTAGCACAGATCCATGAAACTGACTTGCATGAAACATTGTCATGGGTTCCTAAGTCTTCAGCTGGACTCGTGCATGACATTGCTATGGGATCTAGGTCCTCTGCTGGATTTTTGGGGGTCTTTAGTGTGTGGGCGGGTTTCCTACAACTTTTGTGTTTGACTCTGAATGACTGTTATAAAACAATTCTGTAAATTATGTGTCCTGTGTTGTCTTTTCTCCTTGCAAACCCTGACTACAACAGGTAGTGATGTTGAGTATTTTTTCATGTATTTATTGGTCATTTGTAATTATGTGAAGTATCTGTTCATTGAACTTCCCCAGTTTTTTGAATCCATCTTTTATTTTGGTTTCCTGTGCTACTGAGGTTCTATTTAGAAAGTTCTTGCTTATGTCTGTGACCTCAAGAGTTTTACTTATTTTATCCTCTAGGAATCCTAATGTTTCTGTTTCACCATTTAGTTCTTTGATACATTTTGACTTTAGTACATTGTAAGAAAGATAGATCTAGATTCAGTCTTGTGCAAATGGATAGCCAATTTTCCCAACACCATTTATTAAAGAGGGTATCTTTTCTCCAGTATATGCTTTTGGCCCCTTTGGCAAAAATCAATAGTTTAATGTGTTTGAGGTTGTTTTTGTATCATCTGTTCTGTTCCACTGATTCTCATGTCTTTTTATGACAGTATCATGCTGTTTTTGTCACTGTAGTTTTATAATATAACTTCAGGTCCAGGATTGTGACGTCTCCTTCTTTGTCCTGGTTATATAGGATTGCTTTTGCTGTCCTGGGCCTCTTTTGGTTTTATATGAATTTTAGGATTATTTTCTCAGTTCTGTAAAGAATGTTGTTGGTATTTTGATTGGCATTGCATTAAATCTGTTTATCAAATTTGGAAGTGTGCCCATTTTGAACAATATTGGTTCTGCCTATCAAAGAAGAAGGGGTATCTTTCCGTTTTCTGATGTTTAACTTTTTGAAGAACCACCAAATCTTTTACCCCAGATGTATGCAACATTTTACATTCCCACCAGCAATATGTGAAGATTCAACATTCTTATCAATACTTGTTTTTTTTTTCTTTTTACAATATTGAAGATTGAACCCAGAGTCTCACATATGCTAGGCAAGTATTCTACCACTTAGTTACAATCACTTTTAATTTTTTCTTTTTAGTAAAGATCTCATTAAGTTGCCTAGCATATCCTTGAATTTGGTATTTTCCTACTCCTGCCTCTGAAATAGCTGGAATTACAGATGTGCTACATTGCTCTCAGCTTCAACACTTGTTATATTCTGATTTTTGATAATAGATCCTAATGGGCATGAAACTATATTTCACCGTGATTGCAATTTGCATTTCCCTAATAAGAGTATGCTTTTATGTGCTTATTCTCCATTTATGTATCTTTGGAGAAATCTACTTAAGTGCTTTGCCCATTTTTGTAAATATTTTTCTCTGTAGTAGAGGTCAAATCCATGGCCTTACATGTGTTAGGCAATTACTCTACTATTGAGATATATATATCCCTAGCCCTCATTGTCCATTGTTCTGTGGGTTCTTTTTGTTGTCATTGAATTATAAGATTTTTTTTGTCTTTTTGAGACAGGGTTTTCCTGTGTAGTTCAGGCTAGACTTGAACTTATTTTGTAGCCCAGGCTGATCTCAAAGTCACAGTGAGCCCTGTGCCTCAGCTTTCCAAGTGCTGGAATTACAGGCCAACATGCCCAACTCAAGTCATAAGATTTTAGACATTTTTTTTTCTTTTTGTACTTGGATTTGAACCCAGGGCCTTGCATATGCTAAGAATGTACTCTACCATTGAGCTATACTCTCAGAACCCAGGTATGCTTTTCAAATTGAGGGTAAAAATACTATGTTGAAGTAACTGTTTAGATTCTGATTGTTTGCTATATTGCATAATAATTATGATCTGTTACAAAATAACATTAAATATTCAAAAGGATTCATGGCATATTAGTGTACTGAAAAAACATAGTCCTCTGTTGATTTTCCTATTATCTGGTTTTGAAGGCCTATAATACTTTCATTCTTTTGTTTTAATCGTTTTTAAACTATTTTGTTTTGTTTGAATTAATTGTATGTGAAGATATGGACAACTATTTTGAAGAAAACGAGACATTATGGTAGCCACTGTTGATTTCCTGTTGTCTTGTTTTGAAGTCCTTTGTTGCTTGCATTCTTTTGCCCTGATCTGCTTTGTTCTGTTCTGTTTTGTTTTATTCTCTGTAAAATAAAAAAGCATAGTCCTAAATTCCAGACCTAAAATTTGAATGTAGACTCACTTTTATCTTGAGCAAATTACTCATTTGTTCCTCAAAATAAGTAATATTTTGATGACTAAAAGTATAATGAATATATGTATATATATATATATATATATATATATATATATAGCTAGCAAAATTTTTCAATAAATGACATCTTCTGCTACTACTTACAAAATGCTTAGGCAGAATTTTCATTGAAAGCCAGAGGGCTAAGCACATCTTACTGTAGCATTAAAATAATTAATTTGAGCAAGCTTCTTTTTTTTCTTTGTTAAGTATGTACCTTTTGATCAATAAAAATGTCAAGGATTGAAAAATCCTCCACTTATAGGACATCATGCTATACATATGCTTTTTCTGTTTTAATTATTACATCCTGTACTACTCTCTGGGCTCTCTACATAGACATTATGGAAAATATCAATTTCAGCTCCCCCAGTCTGTAATACAAATAAATATCACATGTCATATAAAACAAAAATAAATTTACTGCATTAGCTTATAAAACAGTCATATGACATCTTGTAATTTTTTCTTCAGAAATAGTTAATATGTGATTTGAAGCTAGGGTTGTATCTATTATGTGTTTACTGTAGCCTAAAACCAATGTTAAATACTTTTAAGAAAATTGCTGGACTTTGCTGAACCACCTTAGCTTCCCCTGTGCCATCTTAATGAATGAAGTACTTTGACTGGATGATTGCTAATAAAGTCAGTTACTTATATTTAAAACATTTGTAGAAAAATTTGAATTTCTAATTTAGGTTTTATATCTAGGGCAATTTTTACTTTTCTTTGCCGGGACTCCAGAGTATTAGTAACTTAAGTGGCTTAGTGAAACTAGTCAATGTGCCTGATATATATGGTAGTATTTCTCTAGTTCTTTTTATCATACTTCTCTGTTTGTTAAACTTTATTGTCTGGATGAATTACTTCATTGGGCTGGCTGGCTGGCTTTCTTTCTTCCCTCCCTCATTGCCTCCTTTCTTCTCTCTCTCTCTCTCTCTCTCTCTCTCTCTCTCTTTCTTTCTTTCCTTTCTGTATGGGGAATTCAACTTTCTGTCTAATGCTTGCCAGGTAGGCACTGAACCACTGAACTGTATCTCTGGCCCCCTTTGGGATTTCTTGGTATCCCTCCTAGTAAATTTGGTATAAGATTTAGTTTTTATAGCAAGGCAGATTTAAAATAAGGTTATTTCTTTGATACAATTATTACTAATTGAAGGATTCTTATGTTTGGAAAAACTGATGAGGTTTATATTTTGTTTATTAGGTTGTCTATCAGGGACCTACTAAACCACGCATTTTTTGCTGAGGATACAGGACTGAGGGTGGAGTTAGCAGAGGAAGATGATTTCTCAAATTCATCCCTGGCTTTGAGACTCTGGGTTGAAGATCCTAAAAAGTTGAAAGGCAAGCACAAAGACAATGAAGCTATTGAGTTCAGCTTCAATTTAGAAACAGATACACCTGCGGAAGTAGCATATGCAATGGTAAGTAAATCTTAACTATTTCTCCTAACACTTATTGGTATTTCCATTGCTTTATTTCCTCTTATTTTCTCCTTTACTCTTTGCTTAACTTGTGCTATTATGAAATGCATCTCAACATAGTATAGTAAATTTATGTGTGCAGCATAAAGAATAATAAAGTGCTACTTTTGTTAAGAAGCAAAACATTATCATTGCATTTGAAGTCACCTATGTGTCACTCCCAGCTGCATTCTCTTTCCTAAATACTACAGGAAATGTCTACCCTGACTTTCCTGTTACCCATTCCTTTACTTTTCATTTTTCTTTATAATGTTAAAATATTTTATCATTTTGAAGACCTGAGTTGCAAATACACACCTAGCTGGTTACACAGGGACTACTGGTGAGATCAGATGCAGAATCTGATGGGGAGGATAAGGCAAAGTGAGTCTCTGGGTCACTCTCTGGCTTTCAGCTTCCTTAGAGTATACAAGAGCTGCTTCTGGGGGAAATCAGGATGCAAGTCATGAATGAATGCAGAGAAATAAGCCAGTGGCTCAGCACAATCGAGGTTTACCCAGGGCTGTTTTGTGGACTGGCAGTTAGCTGTCTGTTAACCACAGAGTTGGATGAGGTGTGGCCTATCGTGATTTTTGTGTTTCCAATCTCCCCATGACCATCCCCCACCCTCAGTAGGTCACAGCAGATAACAACTCTGAGGTGAAAAGCCTGTCCACACCTGCTCCAGGCAGCTGCTGGTGGGAGAGGTGTGCTAGAGCTGTGGCAGCATGTGGTCAAGACCGGTCATGACCGGCCTTGTACAGCCTATCTGAGCCAGGCTTAATGGGGTATTAGGGCCTCAGGTTAGAGAAAAAGGGATAGTACAATGATAGCAGGAATCTTTGAGATGAGATGATCAGCTGTACCATAATCATCTTTCTAGTTACATTATTTTCAACCTGAAATCTAGTTAACATTATTTCAATCTTGGACATCTGGTGCACAGCTGTTATCTGGATATTTACTTTTACTATCTTTCTAAACTTTCTTAACCTTATTTCTGTATTAGACTTTATGATTACCAAATTCCATGGTTTGTTTCTCCTGAATTATAGTTTTATTTCAATGGCACACTTCTCTGCTAGCTTATTTTTAAAAATATAGCTTATATATTTTTATATTGCTTTAATGTGTACAATGAAACTGCATTATATAAGAATGAATAAAACTGATGTAAAATTAATTCAATTTGAAAAATCTATAGAACTAAAAAGGAATAAACTATTTCTTTGATTCTACCAACATGCAGATATAAAAATCATGCTACATCCTGTCCACAGTATATGTAAAATGTTTTAAATTTTTTTCTGTTTTTTTAAATCGATTTATTTCAAGGGAAAAAGATGAATAAAAACTAAAAATTTTGAAACACATCAATCAGGGGACAACAGTGGGACATACATTGCTCATTTGCGTCCCCAAATCATGCACCCATAGCACATGACATCTGCTTACAATTGTTCAGACAATACCAATAGAAACCTTTCTCTTCATTGAACTCAGAGACATCAGTGTATAACTGGCTTGAATATTTTTAATATACATGTATATATGTTGTTAATTTCACCTTTTCATAGTAGAGAGATGGCATGATGTATATATATGTGTAATTTATTACACTAAATATGGTCTCAAGTTGCATCCATTTACTTATAAAAATCTCAATGTGATCGTTCTTTATGGCTGAGTAGTACTTCAGTGTATAAAAACACCACGTCTTTTTATCCATTCCTCAGTTGATGGACATTTAGGTTGTTTCCAAGATCTGGCTGTTACAAATGGTGCTGCTATAAACATGAGTGCACATATATTACTGTAGTATGATGTTTTTAATTCTTTTGGGAAGATACCCAAAAAGGAAATGAGTGGGTCGAATGGGACCTCCAGTCCTAGTCTTTTGAGGAAGCTTCACACTGATTTCCACAGTGATTGCATCAGTCTGCATTGCCACCAACAGTGGAAAAGGGTTTCTTTTTCCGCAGAGGCTCTACAGCATTTGTTATTGGTTGATTTGCTAATACTAGCCATTCTTTCTTGGGTGAGGTAGAAACATGGTGTCATTTTAGTTTGTATCTCTTGAATTACCAGTGATGGTGAACATTTTTTTCACATTTATTTACTGATTGTATTTCTTCATCTGAGAAGTGTGTATTCATCTCATGTGTCCCTTTTTGGATTGGGTCTTTAAATCTGGGAGGAATGATTTTTTTTGAGTTCTTAATGTATTCTTAATAGTAATCCTTTGTCTGAGGTACATCTGGGAAACATTTTCTCCCATGTTGTAGGTTGTCTCTTTACTCTGTTGGGGGTTTCTCTTGCTGTGCAAAAGCTTTTCAATAGGTTGACAGCTAAGTTATTGATTCTTTGTGGTATTTTCTGTGTAATCAGAGTTTTGTTCATGAAGTCTTTGCCTACACCAATATCTTTGAGAGTTTTACCTACTGTCTTCCAGCAAGTTTATTGTTTCTGTTTTAATATTAAGATCTTTGATCTATTCTGATTTCAGCTTAGTGCATTGTGAAAGATATGGGTTCATTTTAATCTTTGGCAGGTGTAAAGCCAATTTTTCTACCACATTTCTTAAAGACGCATCCTTCTTCCAGTGAATGTGTTTGGCAACTTTGTCAAAAAATAAGGTGGCTTAGTGTGCCTGGGGTTGCTTTTGCATGTTCTACTCAGTTCCACTGATCTTCAGGTCTCTTTTTGCCAGTACCACATTGTTTTTATCACAGTAGCTTTATAATATAATTTCTAGTCAGGAATCATGATGCCCCCTGTGTTCTCTTTGTTGCCCAGATTTACCTTTGCTATTCTAGGTCTCTTCTGATTCCAGATGAATTTTAGGATTGTTTTCTCTAATTCTGTGAGGTATGTTATTGGGATTTTGATTAGGAGTACATTGAATCTGTATAACAGTTTTGGAAGTATGGCCATTTTCAATACGTTGATTCTTCCTACCCAAGAACACGGAATATCTTTCTGTTTTTTAATATCCTCTTCAATGTCCTTTGTCCATGGACTGTAGTTTTCAATGTAAAGGTCTTTTCCATCCTTTGTTAGATTGATTCTTAGGTACTTCATTTTTTGGATGTTTTCATAAAAGGTATTGATGCTGATTTCTCTCTCAGTGAGTTGTATCAGACTATGTTACTAAATTTGCTTATTAAATCCAGAAGTCTTTTGGGATCTTTTAAGTAAAGTATCATATCATCTGCAATTATGATAGTTTAACTTCTTCCTTTGCTATCTTTATTCCTTTTCTTGTCTAATTGCTTCAGCTATAATTTCAAGGATTATGTTGAATAAGGGGAGATAGTTTTCAATTTTATTCGTTTAGTATGATGTTGGCTGTTGGTTTGTCATAGGTGGCTTTTATCAGATTGAGATAAAGACCATCTATTCCAATTTTCTGTAGGGTTTTTATCATGAATGGGTGCTGGGCTTCGTCAAAAGCTTATTCTGCATCTATTGAGACGATCATATGATTTTTGTTCTTGGCTCTGTTAATACGGTGTTTATATTTATGGATTTACATATGTTGAACCATCCTGCATCCCCGGGATGAATCCTACTTGATCATAGTGTGCAGATAATCTTTTGGATGATATACTGCAGTCTGTTTGCCAGTATCTTATTGAGATTTTTTTGTGTCGATGTACATTAGGAAGATTGGCCTGCGTTTGTCATTCTTAGTTGAGTCCTTCTCTGGTTTTGGAATCCAAATAATGCGTACTTCCAGGGATGAATTTGGGAGTATTGCTTCCCTTTCAATTTCATGAAAGATCTTGAGAAGTAGTGGTGTTAGATCTTCACTAAATTTCCTGTAGAATTCAGGACTGAATCCATCAGGGCCTGTGCTTTTCTTTTTTGATGTGTTTTAATTATGTCTTCGGTTTCATTTATTGATATTGAGTTATATAGGATTTTTATATCTTCTGGATTCAGCTATGGTAATTTATATGTATTTTGGAATCTGTCCATTTCTTCGGTATTTTCTGTCTTATTAGAATAGAAATTTTCAAAGTAGGTATAGATGATCTTGTGGATTTCTGCAGGGTCTTTTGTGATTTCACCCTTTTCATTCCTAATTGTGTGGATTTGAGTCTTTTTTCCTTCTTTTTGATAAGATTAGCTAAGAGTTTGTCAATTTTATTTAACCTTTCAAAGAATCAACTCTTTGATGTTTTGATTCTTTGTATTGCTTTTTTAGTCTCCAGTGTGTTAATTTTGACTCTGATCTTTATAATTTCCTGCCTCATCAAGCTTTTGGTTTTAGCCTGCTCTTCTTTTTATAGAAGTTTGAGGTTAAACATTAAGTTGTTTTTGTGCATTTGCTCTGTTTTCCTGATATAGATATTTAGTGCTGTAATTTCCCTCTTAAGACTGCTTTCATTGTGTCCCACAGGTTCTGATATGTTGTGTTGTCATTATCATTGAACTGTAAAAACCGTGCAATTTCTTCTGTAATTTAATCTGTGACCCATTGATTGTTCAGTAGTGTGCTATTTAATTTCCATGTGTTTATGAAGTTCTTGTTATTTCCTTTGGTGTGGATTTCCAATTTCACTGCCCTGTCTTCTGATAGTATGCATGGGATAATTTCAGTTCCTTCACATTTACTTAAGCATGCTCTGTGAGCCAGTATACGGTCTATTTTGGAGAATGTCCTGTGAAGCTGAGAAGAATGTGTATTCTGATGTTGTGGGGTAGAATACTCTATAGACATCTACTAAGTCCATTTGTTCAAAAATTTGATTTAGTTCTAATTTTTTTTGATTTTTGTCTAGTTGATCTGTCTTTTTTTTGACAGTGGAGTATCGAGGTCTCCCAATGCAATAATATTAGGGCTTGTTTGATTTTTCATTTGTAATTGTTTTATATAGCTGGGTGAACTGGTATTTGTTGCATATATATTTATAATTGTTTTTTGTTCCTCTAGAATTGCTCCCTTTAAGAGGATG